CATTAAAGGTAAAGTATGTGCTTCTAATGAATAGATTAAGAAGCCTCAAATTTGCTTCAATAATTTCTGGGTGCTCATTTATACTGATTTTTAATGCTTCAATATCTTTCTAAACTGGGCTGTTAGTATACATTGATACCTCATCAAAACTTACCAAAAGATCGTCCTCTTTAATACTCTATTTATCTAGCAAATTCATCCGAATTCTTCATTGAATATTTCCAATACTAAACCACTTTCCCTAATCGTCTGCATAAGAAACGTGAAATCCTATGCATCACAATTCTCTTATAAAAAATAAATTTTAAAGTAACTCCTTCCATATGTATTTTTGGAAGTTTGTAAGCTGAAGTCGACCTAACATCCTATTGAAGAAGTGAATTAATTTTAAACTTTCTAATTTCTCCTCTGTTTACACATACATTGAACGATTCCCTAAGTCTGGTCTTAAGACTATTTGTTGGATCCTTCATTAAAAGTATGTAAGTTTCTGAGTCATCTAAATTAACCATAATTTTTTCGCCCTATTTCATTTACGGTGATGAAGGACTGGTAGTAGAATTTTTCCACAATGATATACGTAGAGCTGGCGTTTCCATTGAATTTCACCGAGCCTTGCTTTCCCGAAAGCTGTTCTTATCCAGGTAGGACTGCAGTTTCGACCTCGCCTAGATCCTAATAATACCACCAGTGGTGGTCGATCAGTGACAGTGCAGCATGTGAGCTTGGCACATGGTGGAATCGACCTTCGAATCTCTTCACCAAACAGTTTCACTCTAAATGGAAGTAAGCTCAACAATTATGAAATAAGAGACTCCTCGAAACCCAACTTTTCTTCGCATATATTTAGATATGAAGACTAAGATGGTATGGTATTTTGTTTGGCCGCAATCTTCTTTAGCTGTATAATTTTATTTCCACTTCGTTTTCGTAACTCGGTTCGAGGGACAGGGAGACCTTTTGGAATGCACCTAGTCCTGCATCCTTTTGTAGAGTATTCATGATGATTTTCAGATATTGCCTTAATTCAGGCATGATCTGAGTAGGATTCTGACACTTTGAAACTGCGCATGATGTCAAAAAGGATATCGGACTTGATTGCCAGGAGGCATCAGAGGAAGCTGTATATATACGGGATTTATAGACAGCCCAAACTCAAACCATCCGGTTTCTGGAGGGATAAAAATCACATAAAATATAGTATATAAAGACTGGCTGCTTTTACTCGTCAGTTGTAGCATTGTTATTCTGTACTAGGGATGGCGCCTTTGGCTGACAATTCCGACTATAAGGTCGATTTTACTAATTCAACATTCTGATATATTGTGACGTGACTTTTCATTTCGAAGGAAAAGTTGGTTAGAAGGAATTCGGTTATGTGGTCTCACTGTAAACCAAAGGAGGATTGCCGCGTAGGGAGGGCATTCAACTTTCCTATGATGGGGATTATCCTGAATATTATAACAGAGGACGCATGGTTAGATATTTTCCAAAGTAACTCTGTCGTTTCCAGGCAAAAACCATAGTAATAATAATAATATTATATAATATTATACTTGTTTCTTAAAACCTCCTTACATGCCCGAGATTAAGGCTGACAGCCAAGGATACATCTGAATTTTAAAACTCTATTTTTTTCTTCTCGATTGTTCCAAGAAGCATGATTCTCCAATGGTACTTGCTGATTATCGCTTCAAAACATGCATTAAGCTTTTAGCTTATTTCTTTGGGTATCTTTTTTACTGTTCATTTGGGAGCTATCATCACTATCAATCGTCATATCTCTACCAGAACTGACACTCCAGAGACTATCCACCTCAGGCCCAAATCCCAATAATATAAAAGGTTAACACACGGGCAATTGTGGCGTAGTTTATTTTATTAAATCTTTTTGGACGCGCATGCAATATCCCAAATGGGCGCAGCAATGGACGACTGAGGGCTTGAAGTGAAATATCAATGGACATCTTATCCACAATTAACTAGTGTATCTTTCGTTACAGTTCTATGAAGTTGCTATGATTAAAATATCAACCACTTCTTGTCGATATAGGCAGGATCATTGGGAATTGATAGTGCAAGACCAAATATTTTATTAAATATTTGCCTAGACATACTAATAGGGCTTCCATGTGATGTATCACTGTAGCTTAACATTATGATTATGGGCAAATTAATTTAAGTTATCGCTCTCTCGAAATTTTTCCATAATTTCAGACTCATGAATTTGCTATCGCCATTATGAATTTATTATTTAATTAT